CAGCCACTCCAATACGATTTACGAAGTCAGCTGCAAAAGACAATAGTATTACGAATGCAGCCACAGCACGAAGCAACCTTGACGCAGCCATTACAATGCGATCTGCAGAGACTGAGTTGCAAAACACAATAGAACTACACACAACGGCGTCGGAAATTGTGGCTCCAAAACCAGATCTCGACGCCAGAGCGAAAAAAAAGACGATTTTGAAACACTTTTTAAAAGGATTTTTAAAAAAAGAAAATCGCTAGCGCCAAAATGGAGAAAATCTACTGACAAATCAGTGTCGCAGCCTTCATGCAGCCACTCCAATACGATTTACGAAGTCGAGCTGCAAAAGACAATAGTATTACGAACGCAGCCACAGCACGAAGCAACCTTGACGCAGCCCATTCTACATTGACGGAACGATTCCTACCAGTTGCAAAGCAAAATGGAATCCATTTGGCAACTCATCCGCCAGCAACACTTGCAATCCCATTTACATGATGGGAACGATTCTAGAGTTGCAAATCACCCCCCCCAAAAAAAAAAATGCAATTCCATCAGCAAACTCTCCTCCACCAGCAACAGTTGACACCCCATTTACAATGCGGAACCGATCCGAGCATGATCCGCCCATGATCCGACCACACACGAGACCGTCTCGCACCCGTCGCACAGCAGAGGTAGATCATCGAGGTTCGGGGACGCACTTTGTATGGAAAAACATAGGCTTTCGTGCATCTGCTATCTCTCAAAAACGCATTTCGTGCGAGACTTCCTCCAAAACTCCATCGGCAACTCCTCCACCAGCACCACTTGCAATGCCATTTACAGTGAGGGAACGATCCTAAAGTTGCAAATCACAATGCAATTCCATCAGCAACTCGTCCACCAGCAACACTTGCAACCCCATTTACATTGCGGGAACGATCCTACAGTTGCAAATCACAATGGAATTCTGTCGACCACACATGCACGAAAAACAGTTGACACCCCATTTACAATGCGGAACCGATCCGAGAATGATCCGAGGATGATCCGAACATATCCGAGCATGATCCGACCACACACGAGACCGTCTCGCACCCGTCGCACCGCAGAGGTAGATCATCGACGTTCGGGGACGCACTTTGTCTGGAAAAACACAGGGTTTCGTGCATCTTCTATCTCTCAAAAACACATTTCGTGCGAGACTTCCTTCAAAACTCCATCGGCAACTCCTCCACCAGCACCACATGCAATCCCATTTACAGTGAGGGAACGATCCTAGAGTTGCAAATCACAATGGAATTCCATCGGCAACTCATCCACCAGCACCACTTGCAACCCCATTTACAATGCGGGAACGATCCTACAGTTGCAAATCACAATGGAATTCTGTCGACCACACATGCACAAAAAACAGTTGAAACCCCATTTACAATGCGGAACCGATCCGAGACCGATCCGAGAATATCCGAGCATGATCCGACCACACACGAGACCGTCTCGCACCCGTCGCACCGCAGAGGTAGATCATCGAGGATCGGGGACGGACTTTGTATGGAAAAACATAGGGTTTCGTGCATCTGCTATCTCTCAAAAACGCATTTCGTGCGAGACTTCCTCCAAAACTCCATCGGCCACTCCTCCACCAGCACCACTTGCAATCCCATTTACAGTGAGGGAACAATTTCTTTGCGAACTCTTTCTGTGACTAACTCTTTTCCTCACTAACTCTTTCTTTGGCTAACTTGTTTCTTTGCTAACTCTTTCTTTGACTACCTCATATATCCTGACTACCTCTTTCTTTGACTAACTCTTTCCCTCACTAACTCTTTCTTTGACTGACTCTTTCCCTCACTAACTCTTTCTTTGACTAACTCTTTCCCTCACTAACTCTTTCTTTGACTAACTCTTTCCCTGACTAACTCTTTCTTTGACTAACTCGTTCCCTGACTAACTGTTTCTTTGACTAACTCTTTCTTTGACTAACTCTTTCCCTGACGAACTCTTTCTTTGCTAACTCTTTCTGTGACTAACTCTTTCCCTCACTAACTCTTTCTTTGACTAACTCTTTCCCTGACTAACTGTTTCTTTGCTAACTCTTTCTTTGACTGACTCTTTCCCTCACTAACTCTTTCTTTGACTAACTCTTTCCCTGACTAACTGTTTCTTTGCTAACTCTTTCTTTGACTAACTCTTTCTTTGACTACCTCTTTCCCTGACTAACTCTTTCTTTGACTACCTCTTTCCCTGACTAACTCTTTCTTTGACTAACTCTTTCCCTGACTAACTCTTTCTTTGACTAACTCTTTCTTTGACTAACTCTTTCCCTGACTAACTCTTTCTTTGACTAACTCTTTCCCTGACATTCTAAAAGTCCGTAACACGGAAGTTTCTCCCCCTAAACTTCCTTTGATTATATTTTATATATTATATATAATATATTATATATTATATATTATATATTATATATTATATAGTATATTATATTTTATATATTATATATTATATATTATATATTATGTATAATATATTATATATATCATATATTAAATATTATATATATTATATATTATATATTATATTTTATATATTATATATTATATGTTAAATGTTATATATTATATATCATATATTAAATATTATATATTATAGTTTATATTAAATATTATATATATTAAATATTATATATTATATTTTATATTATATGATATTATATATTATATTATATTATATTTTATTATGTTTTATTCTATTATATTATATATTATATTATATTATATTATATATTATATTATATTTTATTATATTATATTATATATTCTATTATATTATGTTATATTATATTATAGCATATTATATTATATTATTAAATTATATTATATTATATTATGTTATATTATATTATATATTATATTATATTTTATTATATATTAGATATTATATATTAGATATTAAATATTATATATTATTTTTCATATATTATTTATTATATGTTATATATTATATATTATATATTATATATTTTATATTTTATATTATATATTAAATATTATATATTAAATATTATATATTATATTATATTATATATTATATTATATTATATTATATTTTATTATATTATATTATATTATAATTTATATATTATATTATATATTATATTTTATATTATATTATAGTATATTATATTATATATTATGTTATATTATATTATATTATATATTAAATTATATTATATTATATTATTTTGTATATTATATTATATTATATTATTTTATTTTATTAAATTATATTATATTATGTTATATTATATCATATTATTTTATTTTATTAAATTATATTATATTATGTTATATTATAGTATATTATATTATATTATAGTATGTTATATGATATTATATTATATTATATTATATTTTATATATTATATTATATATTATATAGTGTATATTATATATTATATACTATATACTATATATTATAATATATTATATTATATGTTATATATTATATATTTTATATCATATATTATATAATATATATTATATATTATATATTTTATAATTTTTATATTATATATTTTATATTATATATTATATTATATTTATATTATATATTTTATATTATATATTTTATATTATTTTTTTTATTATATATTATATTATTTATTATATTATATTATATTATATTATATATTATATTATATTATACTATATATAATATTATATTACATATTATATTATATATTATATTATATTATGTATTATATTATATTATATTATTTTTTTATGTTATATTACCATATTATATTTTATTATATATATTGTATTATTTTTTTAATAGATATAATATGCATAATGCATCTACGTGCAAACGCATATTGTCTTGCAGTTAGATCACATATTGATATTCCAACTCTTCGCAGCCACTCCAGGATTAAGGATGGCACAATGCGCACTGCTGGTGAGCGGCCAAAGGCCATACAACAACCTGTCACATTTCACAGCTGATTTATTTTGGGGAACAAGAGGGTTTGCCTGGCTCATGGTTTTGGATGGCCATAGCCTGCGCGCCTTAGCCATGGTTTTTCTTGGTGACCCATTCAGTCCGATATCATGGGACATGGTGTTTTTTTAGTTTAAATATAGTATGTTGGTGTCATACTGCAAATTAAACCCAAGAACTGGGTGATTATAGCCTGTTTGAGTACATCCAAAAGAATTGGATGATTCGTACTATATGCCATGAAGCACCAGTGAGTCAATGGGACCTAAATTTGGACCTACGCCACTTCAGTTCAAGGATCTCCATTCATGTCGTCTGTCCATGTGATGCGCAGGTGTTTCTACCCCCCGGTCATCGCTGTTCCAAATGGTTCTACCCACCAGTCACCTGGTCGGATATCAATGTGGCTTTGTCTGAAAAATATCCACCAAAATCCATTGGTTTACATCCATTGCTATTCCTCACATGGTCATTTTGGGGTATCCCCATTTTCAATCCTAATCTAATCTCATCAAAAATCACCAGTCATCAATGACTCAATGACCTTTGGCTCCACCAGAACAGAGTGCCTCCACATCATTCGTGGCCATCAACGAACTAAGAAAACATGGGTATCCCCCCTCAATCGCTGGTTGATGCTGCGTTGGTTCGAGGTTTCGTGCTCTTTTTACCTGCATTTGCAATGAGGTACGTCCATCGATTGGCGCAGTTGCAGTTGCACTTGGCGTGTCAGAATACATTATTTTGATCTATCTTGCTGCAAATCCTTTGAACGTGACTCACTGCTGTCTGAAAATTCTGAAACGTGAAGTGTTGAAGTGTCTCACGACTCCGGCTGCATCTGTGCTGCATCTGTCATGACCGTGCCCGTAAGACTTAAACCAGAGCTGCATGTCAAGCAAAGACGACTGGCTTCATGGGCCTCGCAAAAGCGGTCTGAACCTTGGCTTTTCAACCCATGACAGATGTGCGAACCGTGGCCATAGCCACCGAAAATGAACTTGGACTCAACGCGCGATGTTTTTCCGCATGGCAGGTGCGTCCAGTTTCCTCCGTCACGTCCGAGGGGTCATTTCCAGCGACTTCACGGGGCGGCGTTTGGCCACGGCTTTCAGCGCTTCTCCTGTGGATCTTTGGGAAACAACAGAGGCTGGGAATTGGTCAAATTTTCAACCCAAATGACCCAAATGGATGGTTTCAAGAACCAAGTTTGCCGGGTCAATTGGTACCGTGTGTTTCATTATTTATACTGTTTTTCCTCCAGGTCCATACCCAATTTTCACCTGCAAGTTCTCCACTTTCTATTCCTCGCCACTTTCATCCTCATAAGATGCTTCCGAACCTGGCTGGCGCAAATGCAGAGAAAAAAATTGCACACTTCCACGACCGGTGTGTAAGGTCTCAGAGATGGAATCATCGCCGGCCAACCTGAAACGCAATGATTCCAAATGGTTCCGAATTCCCAAGAATGGATGCACTTTAACCTGAGCAAGTCATATATCGCAAAAAACTTTTACATGACACTAATTAGTTAGTTTCATATTCATTTCATTTCTGCTGGATTTCTAGCAGTTTCTGCATTAAGTTTGAACGGCAAGCTTGGATGTTGCTCACAGGTCAAACAAATTGAAACGTAATACGGTTTAGTAATACGTGTTGTCGCCTCTATCCGGAGCCACGCCACCTTTGGGCCCCATGCCTCGGGGTGGAAAATATCAGTTGGGGCACCTGGATTTGGTTTGCAAATGTTGGTATCTAGATGTATCTAGAATCTAGATGCACTCAGAATGATTCAAACATGAATTCGAAATATTTGGAATGATCTTTGTCATTCTTTGTCTGAATTGGTGATGTAATTAGAAGCCCATTTGGTTCAAAGTAGAATGATTGGAGCTCTGGTGCACCACTGCCACGGCAGAAACTGCTTGGGCTCCAGCCCCGTGCTGCAGCATCCTCACCTCCCTGTGCGAAAGATAGAGATTTCACTTCAAACTGGAATTCCGGCGTAATTTTCAGTGGGCATCTTTTTCCACAGCAGCGTAAGCTAATGGGGTCTTCAGCCCAGAATAGCCCCGGTGTGCACCGGTGCAGGCGCCGGGTCAGGTTCAACGAGGAAGGTTCCGAAGGTTCCGGAGGTGGTCTGGCAGGCTTTGGTGCAGAGCCAGGTCAGGTTCAACAGGGTTCCGGAGAAGGTTCTGCAAAGCCAAATCAGGTTCAACAGGGTTCCGGAAAAGGTTCCTGAGAAGGTTCCAGAGAAGGTCGGGGAGGCTTTGGGGCAGAGCCAGGTCAGGTTCAACAGGGTTCCGAGGGAAGGTTCCGGAGAAGATTCCAGAGAAGGTCGAGGAGCCTTCAGTGGTTGTCAGTTCAACAGGGTTCCGGAGAACGTTGGGGAGAAGGTACCGGAGAATGTTTGGGAGGCTTTGGTGCAGAGCCAGGTCAGGTTCAACAGGGTTCCGGAGAAGAATCCGGAGCGGAGGCTTTGGTGCAGAGCCATGTTAGGTTCAACAGGGTTCCGGAAAAGGTTCTGGAGAAGGTTCCGGGAAGCCTTGGTGCAAAGCCAAGCCAGGTTCAACAGGTTCCGAAGAGAAGGTTCCGGAGAAAATTCCGGAGAAGGTCTGGGAGGCTTTGGTGCAGCCAGGTCAGGTTCAACAGGGTTCCGGAGAAGATCCCGGAGAAGGTTTGGGAGGCTTTGGTGCAGAGCCAGGTCAGGTTCAACAGGGTTCGGAGAAGGTTTCGGAGAAGGTGTGGGAAGCTTTGGTGCGGAGCCCGGTTGGGTTTAACAGGGTTCCGGAGAAGGTTCTGGAGAAGGTTTCGGGGAAGGTTCCGGGAGGCTTTGGTGCAGAGCCAGGTCAGCAGAGTGGGGTCAGGTTCAACAGGATTTGCGGGCATTTAATTCACAGAAACCCAGCTTAGGTGTTTGGCTTCGCAGCACGCTTCAGAAAGATTTGTAAAAATAAAATGTTGCGGCTGTTGGGGATAACACCGAAGCTTATTGGTATTTTGTCGTTTCGACATACATCTGTAGATCCGGCATTCTTTAAATTTCTCCGGCGTTTTTGCAGAATTCCGGCGATTTTACAAGTTTGCGGTGGAAATTCAACAAAGTTGGAGTTTGGCCTCCGGCAAAAAAATTGCCGAAAAAGTTTCTAGGTATCAAAAAAAATCGGGGTGGAAATTGGAGAAATTACATCCTCTCACCATGCTGTGGATACAACCTTCTTAAATGTGTAAACCGTAGATCACACTTTGCGGGCAGCGGAAATTGGAGTGTGCTGCTCAAATCCGCGATTTGCTTGGAATAATTGGTATAACTAAATAACTTACGAACAGTACATACAAATTATATATGTGTATATACATCTGCGAGTAGAAACCAACATTTCATGGAATTCCCATCAATGTCCATCTTGCAAGGGCTTTATCCCAAGGTTTGTTGATTGAATCAACACTGCAGCATTAAAAACATCTGTATGTGTTGGTCTCCAACACTGGAAATCCATTCCAGTCAATGATTGATCATCATGTTCTCCGGTATTTTACATAAATATTGATAAATATTGATATCCCCTCAGACAAATCTACATGATCTACATGTCTCCCTGTCGACGGACAGGAGATTCCGCTCATGGAAAAATCGTTGATCACCAGATCTCAGGGATACTGACCGTGCCTTAGGGTGTCCTCTTAGGGAACCTTTCTTCGCGTAGCGCTTCGCGATCTTCACCTCTGGTGAACCCCAAAATCGCAGGTGAATTCATCCCAAAATATGATGCGATCATGTCCTATGGGGAATTTCCGGCATCAAATTGGAGGAATCCACAAACAAAATATGCAGAAATTAATCATCAAAAATAAGTATAGTAATAATAATAGTAATAACAAATAATAATAATAACAATAATAAAAATAAAAATAGAAATCACAATCAGAGATCACTAAATTAATGATCCCCGAAACTAGAAGTTCCACCCATTGCCATACCCTCACAATTGGAATGCCAAAACATGGACGGCATTCCACCAGCCTTTCAGGTGCCTGTTTATATTAGCGGGAAGGAGTTTCACATGGTCCTGTAGGTTGCAAAATCTGCATAGATATATCATGGTTTCTGGTGGTGTTTCTTCATGGAGGGAAAGATGACTCTAAGTCCAAAAAAAGGCATCCACGAATATAATATCCAAAAACTTCAAGATTGCGGTTCGAAGAGTGGGTTTCAAAGGATGAACAATTCAGTGGAAATGACAGTTTTGGAATTGCAAATGACATGTTGCAGATACATCTCTTGGCAAGAGTGCAGCTTCCAAGTTCCCTTTTTCAATCAGACAGGAAAGCCAACAATTAATCATACATGAATGCACACCCAGGAGAAGTGTTCAAAACCCTTGATAGGGCTTTAAACTTTAAATCATATAAAAATGATAGTTCCACAAAGTTCTGCCCGCAGCATGAAATATTTGACAACGTCTGGGCAAATTAGAATTCTGAGTGATTCCTAAACCTGAGATAAGCATAGGTAAGCCTATTTTGGGGAGGTTCCTTACAAACCATCATCTATCTATGGTAAGGTCGTTGTGAGGTCCCGGTAATGTGCCCACACAACATGATTGAAACATATTGAAACCCCACTCATTCACAGTTGCCATGCTGCACCTGAGAGCCCGCCGCCGCTCCTGCTTTCACCTACACAACGCACGTTCGAAAGGAGGATGAAAACACTGCTGAGGAGTTAACAGCCAAGAACTGTAGAATCATCCCAGCATTGTTTTCCCTGCTGCAATAGACTAAACTGGGATGATATGAACCTCAAGTTACTCCAGTTGTGCAAACCCTCATGTGTATTCATTTGTTGATATTTGTTGCTCATGTTTGGTTGCTCAAGGCCCAAAATGTTCTTGATTCAATCACCCCCCCTTATTGCTGACCTCGTCCTCTTCACTTTCATCCTCATAAGATTCTTCCGGACCTACAGAGTGGCGCGCATGCAAAGGATAGAAACTGCACACTTCCACGGCTCAACCGGTCTCAGAGTTGGAAACATCGCCAGCCAAACTTGAAAGCAGTCCACATGATTCCAAATGATTCCATTTTTTCCCTACAGAAAAACAACTCGAAACCATTTGAACCCAACAAAACCCAGGAAAGCCCCTGCGAAAATCAGCAAGCCTCCATGCGAAGCCACCGCTATGATTTTGGCATAAAGTTGGCTTGATTTGGCCACTTTTAAAGATTCGTTCAAAGTGAAAATGTTTGGAGGTCTGCAGCACCACTGTGGCCACTGTCACCACGTTCACCACCTGTTGTGCAGAATGTGAGCGCTTGGGGTCCTGCCATATTTCTTGTCCAGTTCTGCCCGTGCAGCATCATCACCTCCCTGTGCCAAAGCAGTTGGGATAGGCAGTTCTAGTACATGCAAAAGCCCCTGATTACTCTCGCGAAAGATAGAGATTTCGCCGCGGGATTTCACTTCAAACTGGTCCGCACAATAAACTTGCTAAGTTTAATAGGACAAAACTGATGGACCAAAGGGTTGGGGGCACACGTATGGCACAAAAACCTGAATCATAACAATATAGCCAACAAATGGGGTTGGAAACTGCGGATCAACCCACCTAAAACTGGGAGATTCAGCAAAATTTCAGGGGGGATATAGGCAAGCAGCCAGCCAGTCTCAATTTTCCCACCTTCGCTTTCGGCGGAGCATGCAACTTCTCTTTCTGGGCATGGATCGTCGTGGGTTTGATGGTATTGATTGGAGACGGAATCCTACCTTCTCTGACTTTTAATCTAAAAAACAGCATCCAAGAAAATAATATCCAAAAACTTCAAGATTGCGATTCGAAGAGTGGGTTTCAAAGGATGAACATCTCAGTGGAAATGACAGTTTTGGAGTTGCAAATGACATGTTGCAGATACATCTCTTGGCAAGACTACAGCTTCCAAGTTCCCTTTTTCAATCAGACAGGAAAGCCAATAGATCATACATGAATATGCCCCCAGGAGAAGCTGCCAAAACCCTGATACTCCTGACAGAGTTTTAAATCATATAAAAATGATAGTTCCATAAAGTTCTGCCCGCGGCATGCTGCACCTGAGAGCCCGCCGCCGCTCCTGCTTTCACCTACATAACGCACATTCGAAAGGAGGATGAAAGCACTGCTGAGGAGTTAACAGCCAAGAACTCTAGAATCATCCCAGCATTGTTTTCCCTGCTGCAATAGACTAAACTGGGATGATATGAACTCAAGTTACTCCAGTTGTGCAAACCCTCATGTGTATTCATTTGTTGATATGTGTTGCTCATGTTTGGTTGCTCAAGCCCCAAAATGTTCTTGATTCAATCACCCCCCTTATTGCTGACCTCGTCCTCTTCACTTTCATCCTCATAAGATTCTTCCGGACCTACAGAGTGGCGCGCATGCAAAGGATAGAAACTGCACACTTCCACGGCTCAACCGGTCTCAGAGTTGGAAACATCGCCAGCCAAACTTGAAAGCAGTCCACATGATTCCAAATGATTCCAATTTTTCCCTACAGAAAAACAACTCGAAACCATTTGAACCCAACAAAACCCAGGAAAGCCCCTGCTAAAATCAGCAAGCCTCCATGGGAAGCCACCGCTATGATTTTGGCATAAAGTTGGCTTGATTTGGCCACTTTTAAAGATTCGTTCAAAGTGAAAATGTTTGGAGGTCTGCAGCACCACTGTGGCCACTGTCACCACGTTCACCACCTGTTGTGCAGAATGTGAGCGCTTGGGGTCCTGCCATATTTCTTGTCCAGTTCTGCCCGTGCAGCATCATCACCTCCCTGTGCCAAAGCAGTTGGGATAGGCAGTTCTAGTACATGCAAAAGCCCCTGATTACTCTCGCGAAAGATAGAGATTTTGCCGCGGGATTGACACTTCAAACTGGTCCACACAATAAATTTGCTAAGTTTAATAGGACAAAACTGATGGACCAAAGGGTTGGGGGCACACGTATGGCACAAAAACCTGAATCATACCAATATAGCCAACAAATGGGGTTGGAAACTGCGGATCAACCCACCTAAAACTGGGAGATTCAGCAAAATTTCAGGGGGGATATAGGCAAGCAGCCAGCCAGTCTCAATTTTCCCACCTTCGCTTTCGGCGGAGCATGCAACTTCTCTTTCTGGGCATGGATCGTCGTGGGTTTGATGGTATTGATTGGAGACGGAATCCTACCTTCTCTGACTTTTAATCTAAAAAACAGCATCCAAGAAAATAATATCCAAAAACTTCAAGATTGCGATTCGAAGAGTGGGTTTCAAAGGATGAACATCTCAGTGGAAATGACAGTTTTGGAGTTGCAAATGACATGTTGCAGATACATCTCTTGGCAAGACTACAGCTTCCAAGTTCCCTTTTTCAATCAGACAGGAAAGCCAATAGATCATACATGAATATGCCCCCAGGAGAAGCTGCCAAAACCCTGATACTCCTGACAGAGTTTTAAATCATATAAAAATGATATTCCATAAAGTTCTGCCCGCGGCATGCTGCACCTGAGAGCCCGCAGCCGCTCCTGCTTTCACCTACACAACGCACATTCGAAAGGAGGATGAAAACACTGCTGAGGAGTTAACAGCCAAGAACTGTAGAATCATCCCAGCATTGTTTTCCCTGCTGCAATAGACTAAACTGGGATGATATGAACCTCAAGTTACTCCAGTTGTGCAAACCCTCATTTGTATTCATTTGTTGATATTTGTTGCTCATGTTTGGTTGCTCAAGGCCCAAAATGTTCTTGATTCAATCACCCCCCTTATTGCTGACCTCGTCCTCTTCACTTTCATCCTCATAAGATTCTTCCGAACCTAGGGTGGCGCGCATGCAAAGAATAGAAACTGCACACTTCCACGGCTCAACCGGTCTCAGAGTTGGAAACATCGCCAGCCAAACTTGAAAGCAATCACTCGAAATGATTCCAAATGATTCCAAATGTTCCCTACAGAAAAACAACTTGAAACCATTTGAACCCAACAAAACCCAGGAAAGCCCCTGCGAAAATCAACCAGACCAGCGCCTCCATCAGGAGCTGCGCCACCTTTGGGCCCCATGCCTCAGCCATGGCACCCTGGTTTCAATATTTTCAATGGGGAATCTTGGTATAAATAGGAAAAGATCTATGGCCGTGCCTGATTCCCAGAGGGTATGATTTGTGATAAAATTTTTGGCAGTGCTCCACTTCTTATACAAAGTGGTTCAATGTAAAAATGTTTTACAATGTGTGGAGATCTGCGGCGCCACTGTGGCCACCGTCACCACCTTCACCTGTTGTGCAGAAGGTGAGCACTTGGGCTCCAGCCGTATCTCTTGTCAAATTCTGCAAGTGCGGCTGCATCCTCATCTCCCTGCGCAAAGGCGGAGATTCCACCGTGAAATTCCACCTCAAACTGGTCCAAACTGGTCCTAACTTCACCAACAAACGGGGGTGGAAATAGATCAACCGACCAAAACTGGAGGAGATTCAGCAAAACATGGCCAGCAGCCAGCAAGGTCCCTAATTTTTCCCACCTTCGCTTTGGCCGCAGAAAACAATTTCTCTTTCTCGACTGCCAACGCCTCCGTGCCGCCGATGCAGGGGTTTTTGGGGATGGAATCCATTGGAATCACCGATGTCATGCTGCACCTGAGCGCGCACCGCCGCTTCTCCTTTCACCTACGCAAAAAAAAAGCAGGTTTGAAAGGAGGATGAAGACAGCCCTGTAGAGGTAATAGCCAAGAGTTGCAGAATCCAAAATTGGAGGTTCCATAGTCCCTTCTTGGTTCCCTAGCCGTTTTACCAGACCCACACTCTCACGTCACTCCATCCTTGGATAAAGTAGGGTATACACAACGGCATATTTGCCCTCTCTGCACAAACCCTTTTCGCGCCCTAGGGGTGCAAGTTACGCCAAGGAAAGCGAACTCTCATCCCCAACTAGGGCTTTGGTTGGGCCAAGTAGGCCCGTGTTCTTCACCCTGCATCCCCAACTACCATACTCCTCCACTTCAAAAAGATGTCCCTAACCTTCACCATTTGCATATAATCTGGGTGCTGACGGTACTCATCGCGAAGCGACTCAAATAAACTCGTTTGAACAGCTAGTTTTGTGCATAGATACCCGTTTTTGGATAGATAGAGAGATAGAGAGAGAGAGAGATAGATAGATAGATAAATAGATAGATAGATAGATTAGATTAGATTAGATTAGATTAGATCAGATTAGATTGGATGGATGGATGGATCGATAGATAGATGGATAGATAGATGGATAGATAGATGGATGGATGGATAGATAGGTAGATAGATAGATTGATAAAATCTGATGAGATGAGATTAGATGAGATGAGATAAGATAGGATAAGATAAGATAAGATTAGATTAGATCAGATTGGATAAGATTGGACAAGCTTGGATAAGATTGGATAAGATTGGATAAGATTGGATAAGATTCGATAGATGGATAGATGGATGGATGGATAGATGGATAGATAGGTAGATAGATAGATCCAACTGCACTAATATCTTCACATCCCCATCATTTGATGGGCTATACTGTCAAAGCCTACAATGTAAGGCAAAAACGGCAAGGAAAAATGGGCGACCAAGCAGGCAAAGTCAGCGATGCCAGCAGGGCAACGCGATTGGAATGCAAAGTGCCCATAGATAGATAGATAGATAGAGGCATGCATGCATGCCATGCATGCATGCATGCACGCAGGTACGTGTGGACGTATGTATATATGCATCTTGAGAGATATAGCTTCATACCCAAAACTGCTGGATAACTGCTGGCTTTTGCATCGGAATTCCCCGACCTCAGCCTCTCGCAGAAGGCGTTCGGCGTCCTCCTTGCTTTCCCTGGCCTCAAGGGTTTTGAGTAACGGGTAACGTACTTTTCTGGCGATGCTAAACCCCGGTTGATTCACCATGACAACTCCTGGTCCTTACCCTCAAGCGATCATATGCTACTAAAATGCAAGCTTATTGAATGGGACAGTAACTTAACAAAGAAAAGAGTGAAACAAACACTGGTTGGTGAGGAAAAATCTGACCCACTGCCATGTAACCAACCAATGAAATGGCGATAGAATGATACCCACAACAAATATGGCTATTTCCATCTATTTCCCGTGGCCAATACCCTGACTATGGCCTGCTGGGTCAGAGCAACAATCTCTTGCTTCTTGAGCTCTATCTGGCCGGACGGTCCAGTAACTGAGCCCATGAGAAACTCACCTGTCATCACTTGTTGGATAGGGATAGAAAAAGGGATAGAAAAAGAAAGAAAAAGATGGAAAACCAAGTAACAAGATTTAACAAGATTTAACAAGACTTAAGAAGCATCGAAAGAATATGGTTGAATCTTCAGGAATCTATCTTTGTTCTTGGTGCCCGCGGCCTCCTTTTTGAGTTTTTGGACTTTAGCCGCCTGGCATAGGCCGTGTGGGAATGATGGCTGGTGGTTCATATGCAACACGGGGATACAATCGGGATATCATCTGGATATAGTGGGATACCCTCTGGTGAACATACAAAAAGCTATGGAAAATCACCATTTTTAATGGGAAAATCCACTATTTCTATGGCCATTTTCAATTGCTATGTTAGTTCACCAGAGGGTACAACCAACATCAAACAACTTGATAGTATTTGGAGTTGTCTGCAAATGAAGGATGCCTCCTAAATGTGCATGTTTATTGGGTAAAATGATGATAAACCGTCAAATATTGGGGTACGGGTACCCTACTTTCAGACAAACCCCATATGGATGACACCCATTTCCACAATGGCATCCCACTTCATAGAGGGACTTTGTGGGGTGCTTACCCGCTGGAGACTAGATTTTCCCAACAAAATAGAAACTCTCTGCTGATTGATGGAGGAATCGTTCCATGTTGTTCCCACTTTCAACAGAAAAAAAACGACTGCCCTGGCCAGTTCAGGACCCTTGGAGCTCCAAACGGTGCCTTTTCAGCAGCTTCCTTCTTGGTGGAAGAGACATCCTCCTTCTTCGCAGTGGCTTGCTCTTTGGCTTCCTGGCTACAGCCATGACAGCTCTACCAACGATGGAAAAAAGGAAGCGCGGCAAGCGCCAGCTTGCCTCCGCGTCGGCATACGCAGCGCCTGCTGCAGACATGCTTTCCTTCACCTGGAGGAAGCTATCCACTGGTAATCTAACATGGCTACAGTATGGAAACTCAGGATTTTGAATAGGTAAATCATCTACAAATGGAGGGTTTTCAATAGCTATCCTAATTGACCAGAGGGTATCCACTTCCGACAAACCTTGTCTCAAAAAAAAAGTCTCAGGAGGTCTCTGTTTTGGGGTGCCCTCGAATCTACTTCAAGCTGTTCATCTAGGCTTCACCCTCCCGAAAAACTGCATGAAGGATGATACAGCTTCATTTCCTGAAAAGTCACCACAAAAAAGTTCATCAAATTTACCGGAATTCTTGGGTACTGTACCCAGATGGCCCAGATATCCACCATCCCCACCGTTAGCTCAATAACCCCACCAGGCCTTAGCTTCCAAGATATCCCGACGTCTCTTCCGCTCTGCTTCCAAGGCTTCCCGACGTCTTTGCCGTTCCGCCGTGGTGGACCGCTTGGGGCGGTTGGCATCGGCTTTTGTGGCTTTCCTATGACAGGACTGATGGGGCCAGATGTTCAATTCGCCGGTAGGAACTGCCAGAAAACTGTTTCTATATCCCTACATCCCAGTTTTGGAGGGCTTATAACTTGTGACTCACCGCGAATCAATCTTAATATTTGCAGTTTGGAGGATGCAAGCATCCCAAATATCCAAATCAATTCACGTGGTTGGAAGTTCCAAAGGTGCGTGGGTTTGCCAACAATAATGCGGTATACCCTCAAAATGCTATTAAATACAAGGGAATATGTATGAACATGTATGAACATGTTGAAGAACCGTCAAATCTGGGGTACTCCACAAGACATCAACGTATCACCCCACACCTCTCAGCTGGTGAACTGCTAGCGCTCTCAGAGCGCCTTAGTCTCACCATTTCTCAGTTCTAGGAAACTGACCCAAAATCTCTCAACAAAAGTTTGAAGAGATGATCGTCCAGAAATTTCGTCGTTCAAGAATCTAGAAACCAGGCCACTGCACCGTGAAATCTCTAATGGCAACCCCCACTACGCATCCCACTCGCTTTCAGCATCTTTTGGCTTCTGCTCGGGACGCCTCAGAGCGGGGCAAAGGTGACACAGCTCATGGCAACCTTCGCACTGGGGCGCCCCACGCACGCTTTCGAGGCTCATCAGCCCTGTCTCTGGCCTCCGAGTCATGGACAATGGTGCACCACTTCCAACCAAAAGTTTCAGATTTTTTGACAGCAGCAGTTTGACACTTTCAGGATCATCCCATCCCACTTAGCAACTGGGAAGCAACTGGGATCCCGGCCGTGCGGCTGTCGGAGCGGGGACGGGCATCCCGGGCATCCCGGGGATCCCGCGGCCGCCGTCGGCCCTGACGCGGATCCTGCACCAAGGTTTCTGGTGAAGATGTCCCGCCCCGGTGAAATACCCATCTTGACATATACACCTATTACATGTATGTATACATGAATATGCATATATATATATGTATATATATGTATATATATATATATTATATTATATTAGATTAGATTATATTATATTATATTAGATTATATTATATTATATTATATTATATTATATATATAGTACTCTCCCGAAAACTATCTTTTCACAAAAAAAAATAAAAAAAAGGGTTGTATGATTGAATGATTGTATGTGTGTGTATGTCTGTCTGTCTGTCTGCCTGCCTGGCTGCCTGGCTGGCTAGCTGTCTGTCTGTACGTATGTACGTATGTACGTATGTACGTATGTACGTATGTACGTATGTACGTATGTACGTATGTACGTATGTACGTATGTAGGTAGGCAGGTATGTATGTAGGTACGTCCGTACGTCCGTATGTCCGTACGTCCGTGCGTACGTACGTATATACGTATGTACGTACATACATATGTACGTATTAGCGTCTGTTGTTGTTGTTGTTGTTGTTGTTCTTGTTCTTGTTGTTGTTGTTGTTGTTGGTTGATGTTGATGTTGATGTTGATGTTGATGTTGATGTTGATGTTGTTGTTGATGTTGTTGTTGTTGTTGTTGCTGCTGCTGCTGTTGTTGCTGTTGTTGCTGTTGTTGCTGTTGTTGCTGTTGTTGCTGTTGTTGCTGTTGTTGCTGTTGCTGTTGCTGTTGCCGTTGCCGTTGCCGTTGCCGTTGCCGTTGCTGTTGTTGCTGCTGTTGCTGCTGCTGCTGCTGGTGTTGGTGTTGGTGTTGTTGTTGTTGTTGTTGTTGTTGTTTCCTGTCGATTCCTTTTTCTCTCTTCGCTGTCACGCTTTCTGCCCGTTGCGGTTTACTTCGGAAGGTCTTGCGACGAACATGGAACCCAAAATAAGTGCCAATACGACCTTTTCTTGGTGTTTTGGTTTCATTTCTTTCCCCGCCCCTGACGCCCGTGACCTGGAACCTGATTGTTTTTTCTTTTGAAGGGAATGAAGGATCTCCAGGTAGAATCAGGTCTTGAGCCCTTTTTGGAGGTACGAATTTTCAATCGAGACAGAGTGAAAAATAGGGTCGCCCAAAAGTCACTAACATGGAGTTTGCAAGAACAACACCTTAAAAAACCACTTGGGTTCCAGGTTAAACTTCAAATCACCCGATGTGTGATGACTTCTTCAAAATCCATGTTAGCTGCTTCAGGGTGCAGTTTGGGTTCAGTTCGGGCCCACATTGGGTGCCATGTCAGTTGTGGTGTGATTTTATTGAAAAACTGAGTTGCAGAATTTCCTGGGGAACAAAATCCACTCCACACCGTACCATGGTGGCATGTTAGTGGACTTCAGGAATAGCATGAAGTTCCACAATAGAATTCAGGAGTGAATATATACATACATTCATATATCTATGCGTATGTCTGCATGTGTGAATGTGTCGATGTGTACAAAAAATGCGCGAAGTTATGTTTGAAACAATGAAGGAATCATCTATGGAAGAAGCTGTGATGGATTTTGAATTCAATGACCAGTTTTTTCTCTTCCAAGTGGACAACATTACCAATCCAACGCCAGATCTTCAAACAACTCAAAGGTGGGCAACTAAGCTGGAAGTGCAAAAACAGATAGCCAGTCATCCATGTTTGTCATGTTTGAATGACCATTTTGCTGCTGGAATTCATGGTCTTTCCATGTCTTTCCTAGCGTTCTACATGCCAGAAACGCATTTCGGGTGCCAGTTCACTGGCCAATCTGGCCATGGAAAATCAAAAGTGATTTTTCCCATTAAATCAACATGAAATCGCCAGAAATCTCAATGATCTTCCCATGGAAAATCCCGGACCGTTCCCAGTGATCCAGTCGTATAACACCTCACTCCGCTGTCGTCGCTCATCGCGACCACGACCACCACGGCGCCTGGGGACGTGTCGAAAAACTCCCAGAATTGGGGAAATCTCTGGAAAAATGGAAAGACATGGTAAGATGGATCACAAATGTAGGCTGTTGATGGGTTTTGATCATTTGGGGTGAACATCCATGTTCATTTCCCATCAATTTCTCCAGCTTCACCAAGGTACTCCTGCACTGGGGGTGCATTCCTGGGATCTCTTCAGCCATGGACACCCTGCCTGCTCTGTGGCCTTTCCTGGCGTTCCTCTCGTCTGGACGCCGGGCGTCGCCGGCGACGACCTAAAGCCAACCAGGGGTAGCGGCGTAGCGCGGAAAGAGTTGAAGTTCCCTTGGAAGAAATGATGTCAATAGTGGGAAATTCAGGAAATTATGATGTTCAATAGTTGGTTTTTGAATTTCCCACTATTGATGTCAGGATTCTTCAAAACCCAATAGTGGGCTATATTTGGCTTCAAAGTTTCAGAGCTCTTTGAAACTAAACAATGGAGCCCTGGTGCCATAAAGACCAGAAGTGTTGCTATCCATGAGAATTTCTGAGCCAATAGATTTGAGCAAGAGGCGGTATACATATAAGTTTAAATGTATGTGTATATATATATACATACATAATTCATACAGTAATATATATATATACATACATGCTAGCAGAAAGCAAAGGGTTTTGGCTACCAGCGACTGAGAGTCACTGCTGACAGGCTTGCTCCCAACACTCCAGATCCCACCGTAAAGAAGCAAAATCATCCCATTCCTGAATGCTGGCTATTCCTCATTGCCGCCTGCTATCATGCTCGTTTTTCTGAAATCTCTACCCTCTGGTAATGACTAACATAGCTATTGAAAATGGCCATTTATAGTGGATTTTCCCATTAAAAATGGTGATTTTCCATAGTTATCTTAGTTTACCAGAGGGTATTCTCAATCGTTTCCCCGATCTAGACGTCTGTATCTGTTTAATTATCTGAGTAGATATTGTCATCATCCCCTGTCCCTGTTCCCCAGCTCCTCCAATATTTGTAGCTAGTGAATATCATCCCATTTCGTTTGGTAATATCCCACATCCGAGAAATCCAAATCCACAAGCTTGATGCTAAAAAAACTGAATACAACTGAGGAAATCCTGGTGTAACATGGTGTAACAGTTTAACATTCCACTATGGGGTGTCATCCCCAAGTGGCACTTGGGAATTCCTCCATCAACAGCCCATCCCAGCCTTCCCCTCCGTCTCTTCGTCCGTCGTCGCGGTCCATCCGACCACGGTCACCACGGTCACCACGGTCCCCGCGGTCCCCGCGGTCGCGGTCGTCGCGGTGACGACGGCCGCCCCGTCTGTTGCCTTGGAGCAGAATGGCGTCCACAACCGAAGGGAGATCCAAAATAGCCTGAAATAGCCTGAAATAGCCATAGGAATCCATAGGATGTTCTTTGAGGCGCTATTAAGTCCAATCCATTTCAGAACCATCTGTCCAAATGGCTGACGCGCGCAAGATACAGCTAGACTCAGAGGCTGACCGCCACGATCTCTTTCTCGGTCTCGGTCACGCGGGCCATAGCCACCTGCCACATGGGTTCCAAAGGGGCCCTGTCCTCTACCAAAATAGAAACTTTCAACACAGCAACATGGCCCTGCGGTGGTGAAGTTTGAACCATTCCCACATAAATTCAACTGTCCCATAGCTAGAACCAGAAAGCTGGTTCCAAATTCTGGTTTTGGCCCAATTGCTGGAGGGTCCTGGAACACCAAGATACAACTAGATTCTAGAGAACATCTTGATTTCTGGTGGTCAAACGGGTCAAACCTTGAGTTGGTGATGTTCCATTCTTGAACTTTTCTCCAACTTTTCTCCAACTTTTCTCAATTCTTGGTGTCCTGACCTCGATCTGGGCGTCCTCGTCCTCCTCGCTCGTGTCTTCGGTCACCTGAAAAATCTGAAGACACGATGTTTCAGAGCCCATGCGAAGCGCAGAATTTGGAAGAGTATCCATGTGGTCCATGTGTATATCTATATGTTTTAGTATTTGGATCGATCAATTAGATTGGATTAGAAATACAGATTAGCTTAGATCAAGATAAGATAAGATTAGATAAGAGTAAGATAAGACTAGATTAGACGAGATATATCAATAGCTCCCTAGATCAATAGAACAATACATCAATAGATTAATAGATCCATAGATCAATAGGTACATCAATAGATATTGTTCAATCCATAGATAAGATTAGATTAGATTGGACAAAATGAGATATTGTATCATTATTCACTATGTGCATAGCTCCCGAAAAAATGACCGTGGCCTGGTCGGTCTCCCCGACCACCATGACCACCATATCGTCGACCACGGCCTGGGAAAAAACGGCTGGGCTGCGAAAAAACCGCCAGCTCAGAAGAATCACCCGGATTGTGGATTTGAAAATGAGGTACATTGGTATACATTATGTATACATTCCAAATGCATACACCAAGATATTCCAAAACAGTCAGCTTTGTCTTAATAAAATGATGATAGACTCCATGATATGGCCACGGCTCCTATGTTTCACAGACATTTGAGAATCAAGCCGACTCACCGGCTCGATGCTGCCAAGTTGCCATCTCTTGACCCCCCTCTTCTTCGTTGGCTGCCTTAAAATCCACATTGACATCAACTTTGGGCTGCCAAAAAGCAACAAAAACAGCAAAAACTCTGTGTAGCAGTTTGCCACCAGATTCATGGCGACAGTAGAAGGACAACTTCATCAACCCCCAGGCAAATCAAAAGATTCCACTGGATCAATGGCTTTCTGAGCTTTCGACGCGGCCGCAGAACTAGGCCATGCCTGCGCTGAGCTATTTTTGCAGAGTGGCACGTGTCCCCACTGCAAAACAGAACAGAACTGGCTTGTTTAGACTGTTAATGGCTATTAGTGGCTATTAATGGCTATAGATGGCTATAAATATGAATTTGGGATTATTATTATTATCCGCATTCATTTCTTGAAACTCCACACTCTTGGAATCTCTTTTTGCCTTGAGTCCCTCCGTCGGTCTCTGCACTGCACTACTTCCTAGCGGAAACCGAAAACTATCCCATTCCATCCCACGGTTGATCATCATGTTCCACAAATCGACCAAAAAAAAGAGGAAAAGGATAGACCACTCATCAAACGATTTCTGGAAAAACACAAAAAAAATCAATGGGATAAACCACTAACATGCATTTTTTGGATAGACCACTAGTCAAACGCTAAATCCCATTGTTAGAATATGTTAGAATGTTGAATCCCCCACACATACCCTCTGGTAAACTAACATAACTATAGAAAATCACCATTTTTCATGGGAAAACTCACTATAAATGGCCATTTTCCATAGCTATTTTGACATAACCAGATGGTATGTGTTGTGGTGAACCAAAATCCAGTGTTCCCATGGCTTCCCATGGCCTGCCGTTCCGGTCGTTGGGATGGCCGCGGTCGTTGGGATATCGGCCACCGCGGTTCCGGTGAGCACTTCTGCTGATCGCCTTGTCCTTGGTTCATATATGATAGTTGATATATATATATATATATGAATACTTGATAGTTGGGATGATATATATGATAGTTGATAGTTTAGCACTATATATGAATACTTGATAGTTGGGATGATATATATGATAGTTGATAGTTTAGCACTATATATGAATATTTGATAGTTGGTCATTGATATGGGATATGTCCAAAACTTGACTGTATAAATCATCTTAGAGGATTTGTAGGCTCCCCAAGCTTTGGAGTTCTCCCAGTCACATTTTTTCCGCGTTGGGGCCATGAAAGAGTATCCTTAGATCCCTATTCTTAGATCCAAATTGTGATATTTTTTCCAACTTGGAATGACTATGGAATAGGGATACTGCAGATACTCACCACTTGGATTAGTGAAACCTACATGTTGCAGTCCCCTTCCCGCTGGTTATTATGTACACGGTGTATACATTGATACAAATCAATCATTAATATGTATATATATATGTTTTATATCCCATGAGAAACATCTCTCCAAATCACCAGCGATTTTTCCCCATGGACATCACCAGCGCTTCCGAGTAACCAAATGTCGCTCTTGAAGAAGCCGTCGTCGCTCCTCCTAGGCCAGAACTTCCAGGAAGGAGCGATGGACATTCGTTGGGACATTTTTTTCAATGGTTTAAACCGCCATAAACTGGGATATAACCCCGTGTCACTATGGATATATATATATATATACTAATTATATATATATATACACATAATTACATATATCATATATATATATAATATATAAACACATACATTTATATATATAATTGGGATATACCCTCCGGGCCAGTCAAACATGCTTCACTTGAGAAATTCCCGCACGAAATGCAGCTTTCCAGCTGGGAAAATGATCGAACTCACAGGCTAGTAGTGATTGTAATTAAAGATGGTAATTACCTCATAGGAATAAACCAAGGTTTTGTGTTTCTTGACATTTTTGAGAGTCCATATCATCATCATCATCATCGTCGTCGTCAACGTCGTCGTCATCGGCGTCGTCATCGGCATCGTCATCGTCATCGTCATCGTCATCATCATAATCATCATCATCATCATCATCATAACCATCACAATCACCATCATCATCATCATCATCATCATCATCATCATCATCATCATCATCATATAATCCAATGAACCAGTGGATGTCAATCTCCTGTGATGGTCATTGATCCAGCAAATCACGAATGGATTATCCCCCCCAGTTTCACCACTCCAAAAATCAGGGATTATCCCACCATCAAATGGGTCTGTCTGAAAATGCACCAACTCATTCCATCCCATGATTCATCATCATTTTGCGCATTGGAATGATCATCAAGCGGGTGGTATCCCATTGATTCCCATTGTATCTCTATGTGCGACCTGCTCCGTTCCCAGAAGCACTTTGTCGTGGTATAAACGCAGCAGCTGATTCTGCTGCTGGTGAAGTAAATGAACCCTCCTTCCTTTTTTGTCAAAGGATGTTGACTCAAGCAAATTTGCGCAAAGAATGGATGCACAAAGCATCCAATTTTCTTCAGTTTGCCATAGCGAATCTGCACTTGTTTGATCGACAATATTCAGAGTTTGCTGATGTAACCTTGGTCACTGACCATTCCAAAGTGAACATGGCGAGAGCGTATACACGGGATGATGCTGTGGCATTTATCTAACGGCAGTGTCGCTTTCTATAACTACCATATATCCGACACATCCAACTGGTTTTTTGGCTGGTTCGCCACAGGAGTTGGCAAAATCCCCCAGCAAACGGCTCCAAACACCGGCTCCTCATCGATCACCTCCGCCTTGGCGTTGCGGCCTTCAAATGAGGCGCCGTTCAACTCCTCCCAGCGACCGGTGGGGGAGGACTGGGGATCGTTCACCATCCAGAAGCATCCGGTTTTTACTAGGGAAACGATGGAAAAATGATGATCAACCATGGGGGCATGGGGTGGAATGGGGAATTCCGGGAATACCCTGTTTTCAGACAAAGAAAAAGGTTCAGAAGTTTGACCCATCTCCGCCTGTTTTGAAGAATGTTTCCTCTGTAACATCTGTGGTGATCGAGTCACATATCCCAGCAGTCAATCTTGACGATCGTCCGCTTTAAGGTGGATGTAACGTCAAAGATATTTGAAACCGCCAGCATCCGCCAGCCATATCCAGGATTACTGGATATAGTCTGAGATATTCAATATTCCCATGTCCCATGTTTTTTTTGTAGAGTCATATCCCACTTTTCGCTGCTTGAAGCCACCATTTCTTCAGCTCTCCTTTGCCAATGCAGTTGCATCCCTGGGGCTTTCCGCTTCAATGACTGCAGAGCGAGAACCTCTTGGTCCTGCCGTGCTCGGTATGATCTGCAGTGACACAGTCATCACTGGTGCCTATCGATCCCACCAATGATTGGCGGCGATACGTCCATCTGGAGAAACTGGGGAAACTCACTGGTGTAAAACCCTGGTCAAATGTCCAGTGTAAAACCCTGAAATATTGCTTGGCATGACTGAGGCAGCGGCCGAAAAAAGAGACCTGCAGCACTTTGCCGGCAGAAGTGTGTCGCTGGAACCTGAAGAGTTTGTCAAAATCAGGCATCAGCAGCACTCAAACCAAGGAGCTCGCACCCTACAAACAACTGCTAGCTGGGAGATGTGTTTGTTGCTCACTAGCCAGGAACCTTTTCAAACACCTTCACTAATGTAGCAAACCCAATGCCATAAACCACTATTGCGGATGGCTTTAGTACCACCCTTTTCTGTAAGTTTGGGATGGTTAAATTGACTTCATCGCTCTGGGTCTTGGGCCACTCCAAGCGTGATGCCGACTCTGGAAGATTCCGCACCGCTAAGAGCCTCGTGCGTGCCGTTTTACTGGGCCGTGCCAATGGACCCACAAATGGCTTGTCATGTTTAGAATTTTTGGGATTCATCTGTTCAACTGGTTCAACTGGTTCAACCATTCAACTTTCATGAGACATGATTTTGACCAGTACCCAGCTGAAGATCATTTAGGAGGCGCCAAGAAGAACCTGTCCCTTCTTGGATGATGATGATTGGTTGTACGACCCTCCAGTAAACTGTTGCATAGCGATGGAATTTTAACTATGTTTAATAGGTAAATCATCTGAATAAATGGGCCATTTGCCATAGCCATCTAAGTTTAGCAAAGGGCGCCATTTTTGATTATATATATATATATATAGTATATATATATATTGTATCACCAGTCAACGCTTCCCCACTTCAACCTCGTGCTCTTATTTTTTTGCCAAGCTGCTTGTGTTCGGAGGGCGGTGGATCTGGGGTGGCCTGCGGTGGGTCCTCGGGCTCTGCTTTCCTCTTGTGTCTCCCATCTTTCGCTTCCGCCTCGGCCGCCTCGTCATCATCAACAACCTCCACGACGTCTTTCCTTCCAGTCTCTGGAATTTGTTCCACTTCTGGAGCCTGCGCAGCTGGGGCCACAACCTCAGCAACCTCCATCTCCACATCCTTAGGTTCCTCGGCCTGACTCGCAACCGCCGGAACCGCCGGAACCGCCTCCGCATCCTGCTGGCTCTCAGTCTCCATTGGAGTCTCCAGTGGAGTCTCCATGACATTCTCAGCCTCTTTCACTTGCCCTCCTTCCGCAGGCACCATCTCCACTTCTGGAGCTTCCCCATTGGCGCCTGGCGCCTCAGCCTCCGAAGCCTCCACTGGCTCCACTGGCTCCACTGGCTCCACAGCCGACTCCTCAGGATGGTAAGTGGTAGAGATGTGGGAAACCCAAAATCCGAAACCATCCCCAAGTGACTTGGTATCCCGTTGGGATTTCGGTGATTTGGGGATGAATTCTTGTGAACTATCACCCAAGACTTCATTAATTTGGATGTGAGATGAATCATTGTGAACCATACCCAAAAAAAACAAGAGTTGGGTGTGTTGCGTTGGTTTTTCACAAGGTCATGTTTTGCATACAGTACCAAACCGTCCGATGAATTAGATCTTGTTGAAAAATGTTGATATTCTGGTAATTTGTTGCATAGCCACAGAGCTATGGAAACCATGGCCCATTTAGTTCGATGATTTAGCTATTATTTTAATGGTGATGTTCCAGTTCGCAAACTGGTCCATGACGAAAGGCTAACCATGGATTTAAGGCTACCCCATCAAACAAACTCATCATGACTGTGCGCCTCTGCAGCTTCCTCGGTCATGGCGCACCGTGCCCTATGGAGCTTGAGCCACCAAATCGACAGATATCAATGATGAGATCCCCATCGCACAGCACGAAGTCAGCCCAGCCGGCCATGGATCCTCGGTCACCTTTTTCCAAACCTTCGGCTGAAGTACCTGGTTGTGTCTGGAAAGCGTGGCATTTCAAAACAACCATTTGCGGATGTGCGCCACAGAAAATCAAAGCTGATTCGGCTTGCCATCGGACATCTGGGCTTTGCCCAGCGTCCGGAGTCCAAAGTTGCGTTCAACTTAATGAATTTAGTTGTACAGTGACCCACAAAAAAGATCGGAACAGAAGAACAAAACAAAAAGATTTTAAAATAAAAATAATTAACCATAACCATATAGAAACATATCCATAACCATCAATTTTTTTCGGCAATCACCGTGCTGAGTCTTTTTGCAGACCACTTTTCGCTCGGCCGAGACAAAGCGAGCTGGAAAATCCAAACTTCCATCGTACCTGGATGTGCAGCCCGCTTAGAAAGTGCTTGAATAAACCATGTGACCCATTCCTACTGAGATTAAATATATATATATATTATTATTATATTATGTATGTGTATATATAATTGTATCAGAATTATATCCATGACTGGTTGTTTCCTTTTCAATTGGGTGAACTCACCATGGGTATTTTTTATGAAAACAGTTCGCAACTGCACAACCACAGTCGTACGGGCGCGAACGCCGTTGCGGATGCCCAAGGATTTCACTGAAATTTATCACCGGTGACTGTCATATCTGGTTATGACTAACAGTTTGCCATGGAAAGATCCACCATTTTTGATAGGAAAACCATGGGAAAACCATGGGAAAATGGTGATTTATATGGTAAGATCCACCATTTTATAGCTAGGCTAGGTAAACCATCTATTTCTATGGGCCATCTATACCATGGCGAACTGTTAAATAACCAGAGGCTAACTGCAATATATATATATATATAATTATATATATCATTAATATCTCCCACAATTGAACCTGACTGGTCCACTAAAGACACAGAGTTCATCTGTCATCTGTTCGTCGTGCATCTGGCTGCTCATCCTCCAAAGCGTCCCCGCCTGGACACACCTCACCACACCCATCTCAGCTGGTCATCCTGCTACCTCATGCGGTCATCGGCACTACCTCAGCATTCGACGGAAGTCCGAAAACTGGCACGATGGAACATCTTATGAAAGCCATAGCCATACCCAAGACTGGCACTCTTTTTAATGGGAGATGTACCAAGGTTGGAAGCCTCCCAATCCTATCGGTTCCATGATGTTCCGTGCATTGCCATCCCCTGAGCCCGGCACGGGGGATCACTCTCCCCTTTCTGAAGCTGGTCCTTCCACGAGCCCGGGCTGAGCGTTTCCCACAGCCAGAGGTCACTGGAAGTTGGCTGGACATCTGCCGTTACGGCACAAATGTGAAGAGTTTCGGCCGTAAGGGAAAGCCGCG